AGTGAACAATGATTTCTAGGTGATCTGTGTCTTTAACTTTAGAGTATGTCTTAAAAATGCGTGCTATACCATGAAAGGATCGCCTTCACTGAAATCCAGGGAAATGATGAGGTCGATGTCTCGTTCTTTTCTCAGCACTGAGAAGTAGGGTGAGTTCAGCAGCAGTCCTGCGTCTTCAAAGTCTCTCGTCTCACTTTGCAGAAGAGCGGAAGGCACGGATTCATCTGAAGGATCACAGCATCAGATGAGTCGGTTTATTATATTATTCACATTACTGAATTTCTAGTTAACAGCAGGTCAGTTCTCACCGCTCATATTGTGGAGGAAGTTATAATTCCTGCCCCAGATCCACAGAGCCATGCATTTACAAATGCTCAAGAAAATATCTGAAATACAAATGCACAGTGGTTCTTAAATTTAGTAAATGGTTCCTATATTGTTTTATATTGTCTTTCTGGTGACTATATTTGGAGATTAATTAATAATTATAAACAATTTCTTTATCTTTATGCTTTAAAAGTAGGGGGTGCGATTATTAAAATTTGTTGAAATTTTAATATTGGCATTCAATGATTATGAAAACATGATAATCATGACAAAATAAAATATGATTATTGTGCCATATTTGGTTGCCTTCCTTTACAACTGTAATCTTTTATACGGTCTAAAAATATATCAAAATGAGTGTCTTGGTGTGTTCATGTAAAAACAGTCAGTTATGTGTCAGTTGTTGAGAAAGAAATCAGATGTGAAAAGCCAAAATTAAATCGGTTCATCATGTAAAGTCATTGTGTCTCTTCAGAAAACTCTAATTAAACCATCTAATTCATCTTGGATTTATTAATTTTTTTCTCATGGGTTTGGAACGACATGAGGGTGAGTAAATGATGAGTGAACTGTCCCTTTAAAATAATCATGATTATGATTTTTGCCATAATCGTACTTTACTGGTTGTCTAAAGCAAAGGTTCTTTCTTGGCTTTTTGTTGCTGATTGGAAGCTTTATTGAATCTAAAGCACTTGTTTTATGCATTAAAAATGACAATATACAAATCAAATACAATGTAAAGACAGTTCAACCTACCGAAAGGCCCCAAACTGAATTGACTCAAATAATTACATACATCCTCAGTGTATTGCTTCATATACAGTTTTGCAGCTTCTTTATCAGCGAGATTCAGTTTTTGTGTTGGAAAAATCAACTGACTTTTGCCTGCAGCGAGGTCTGTGAAAGAGAGAAACATTACTGAGTTCTTGTGATCTGGTAATTCAAGTTCGCCTATCTTGTTTAATGACATGTTTTTGCATGTTACCTTAGAGTTTTGCAGTTTCATCCATTAGATTAAAGTTCAATAACTTTTTGATTGTCTATTCAGAAACTGAACCTTGAGAATTATTGACAGTAAGTGTTATAACTAAAATTAACTAAACTAGTCTCCTCTATATGAATTCTAACACACTCTTACCGTTCAGCGTTGTTCTGATGGATTGATCAAGAGCAGAAGGATCTTTGACATTTAAAACACAGAGATTCATGTCCACAAGATCCATGAGAACCTGGTACCACTTTTCTACAGGTGGGGAGTTTGGATCTTTTGAAGAAAACACACATTGAACAAACTGAAAAATGTCTTAAATGTAAGTGCTGTCCACACCCAAATTCATCATGTTCAGATATCAGGAGTTTTCCACAAGCAAACATGCACAACATTGTCCAAAAGCCATTTAAGAGGCTTTGATTTGAAGCTAAAATGAATTTGATCACACCTCATGATCTATTCAGTAACACTTTGTGTATGCACACATGTGCATGAGCAGTACATTTCTTACAGTATGTATTCATCTTTGTTAATAGGTCAGTTGACACAAGATAGAACGTATCAATAAATAAAAGCAGAAATGCAAGGAAATGCTTTACCTTCCTTCATTTCCTCAAACATGTTAATTTCTTTCGTAGGTCTTGAATGTTTAAGGAAATCTGGGGGGGAAAATATATAATCATGGATTCACATGATAATGAAATGAATGTGGGCTTTAGTCAGAACTGAGTCTTCAAATGCGGCTGCACCTTGTATTTTTCCCCAGATGAATTCTTTACTATCTTCTCCAGCTAAAGCGCTGCCACACAGAGCTGCAGACAACACGATTACGTTTAAAAGGGTTAACAATAAATAAAACAAAACACCATTTTTAAAGCGAAATGTGTAATATATTAGTCTAAAGCGCAGAATTATTATTCGACCTCTTAAATTGTTGAGCATAAATGATCTGTACTTTAAATCGTTGTGTAATGAGAAGTATTATGTTGAAAAACAGCAACTCACTGTGCTGTTAAAACTGCTTTAAATGATTTTTCACATTTCTAATTGTAATGTTTATATTAACGTTTTGACACATATTAACTTCGGTGATCAGTGTACATTGGTATTGGAAATATTAATAAACTCATGTGACAGAGTTTGATACCTTGCAGGTACAGCATGTCTATTTCAGGCTGGTGTTTTTTCTTTGAGCCGTTGTCAAACTGGCTGGCGAAGCTGGAGGTCTCCACAAACGCTCCAGTGAGGGAATAACCTGCTTCATGTGGACTGATCTCAAACCAGGGGTCTGCAGACAGAAAACACCTCCATACAACAGCTGACACAAACACATTAACACTCTTTAATTCTTTCAGACAAACACAGACCTCCTCCCTCCTCCTGTTTGCTTTGCTTGTCAGTCACTGTGTAGATGGGAAATGGGTCTTTACTGAGTTGGGACCGCTTATCTGTCAGAGTGTGTTCATCAATCTGTAGGAAAATCATTTTAAAATTTATATATACAGGTGCATCTCAAAAAATTAGTACATATAAAGTAAAACATTTCAAAAAGTTTTTTGTTTTAATTTTGATTAGAGCTTACAGCTCATGAAAGTTAAAAATCCAGTATCTCAAAATATTAGATTTACATTTGAGTTTCAATAAATGACCATCCCTGCCGAATAAATTCCGGGTATCTCTTGTTCTTTGAAACCACAATAATGAGGAAGTCTGCTGACTTGGCAATGGTCCAGAAGACGATCATTGACACCCTCCACAAAGAGGGTAAGTCTCAGAAGCTCATTACTGAAAGAGCAGCTGTTCACAGAGTGCTGTATCAAAGCATATTAAATGCAAAGTTGACTGGAAGGAAGAAATTGAGTAGGATAAGGTGCACAAGCAACAGGGATGACCGCAAGCTTGAGAATACTGTCAAGCAAAGCCGATTCAAACACTTGGGAGAGAGCTTCACAAAGAGTGGACTGAAGCTGGAGTCAGTGCATCAAGAGTCACCACGCTCAGAC